TTATGTCTTTTCATGTTTGATCCTTAGAATCTATCAAACTACACATTTTTATCATATTTTTCTGTATTTCTGTCATTTTAACAATACAAGTTTAAACATGGCTATCCCACCCATTTCAGAGTAATAGGAGTCTACGCCAATGTGAGATTTCAAATGTGCAGGAAACTTCACTGTCTTCATCAGTGTTATGTCCTTAGGGCTGAGCCTAGCTCTTGACAGAGTCAGACTACATATACACTTACTAAATGAAGAAATAAAAGAGAATCAATGCACACCTAAAGTCATATTCTGATTGCTACTATAAACTGTAGCAAGTCACAAATTTCCAAAAGAGTGGACTCGGGATATTTGAGGGTTTGGTGTATTGTACAGATGGCTCCTTATAACCACATGCCTGCTTCGTGGGCTGCAATGACACCCAGGGCCCTCAGAGGAGCCAGGCGAGTCACTGGCTGGGATGATGCCTTATGTTGTACCTCTCCTGGCTGCACACATATCAGCAGTCAGGTTCTCAGCCTCTGTTACGGGTGAGTCTGCAAGAGCTGCCAGTGGATTCAGGAGCTCTGAATAAGATATTCCTATCACCCACGTCACTGAGGAAATTCAAAGGATTTTAGAAGCTCTGTGTCACCAAGCAGGGACAGAGACCAAAAATATATATATTCTTTCTGATGTCACAAATGTCATAACTGTTTTGTCCATCTTCACATCAACTTTAAATAAGAGTTAGAAGCAATCAGTTGGACAGTATTTATCCTCTGCAATCAACTCAGTCTTTTGTCTATTGAACCAGTGGTGCTGTTGGAGTAGACAGGAGCCAAAGCTGAGCGAGTAGCAGACCAGTATACACATCTTGCCATGTCCAGGTCTAGAAGGCTGTCAGCAAAGGAGACAGAGGAAAGAAAGGATCTCAGGTGCCTGTGTCAATAAATCACACAACCTTGTCCAGGACTGGCTTTAGTTGGTGCTGTGAGGTCAAGGCCATTGGCTGCTGCATCCGTCAACTTTCCTGTTGCTCAACATGATACTCAACACTCATGAATTAAAGGAAGAGAGGTTTAATTTAGCTCAAGGTTTCAGGGGATTCAGTCCCTAGTTGGCTGGTTCCAAGGCAGGAACATCATGGTGTGGCAGAGCAAGGCCAATTAGTTCGTGGCAGTTAGGGAGCAGAGGAGGGGAAGAGTGCCAGAGAGGAACAGGAGAGGAACTACACACAGTATTTAAGGACTTACATGGACACACTCAGAAGGGTGCTTTACTAATCTTCTGCGTATCTCTTAGTCCAGTGAAACTGACATATCAGGACTAATGGTCACACTGCCTTCACTGTGGAAAGTCCTTCCACCAGCAGGCAGGAGTCAGGTGATACATCTGCCTCCAGAGTCAGCCACTTCCTAGTCAGACCAACAGACCATGACATTCACTTGTTGAAGGCTCAGGCAATGTTTATAGACAACAGAAACTAAGCCATTGAGAGGTTAGAAATATTTCGTGTGGAAACATTAAAGCCAAATTTGGCCAATGGCTCTTTTCCATTAAAATTTGACAAAGTGACTCGAAATAGTTGTACAAATCATCACAGAATCAAACTACACCTACTTCAGGAAGGCAGAAGAGTTGATCTGTGAAGATGAAATGGGCTATAAGCGGGGTGAGACCTTAGCATGGCCCTGGCACATAAAGCTAGCACATGCTTAGTACCTTTCACTATGTTTCACCTGTCATCAGCAACACCTCTGGGACTGCTAGAGCAGACTCTCTAGATAACACAAGTAAGAAATTCTAGGTCTTTAGTAGTGATGGAAGAGCAGAGGCTGTGAAGACCTGGAAGAGCCTGGGGCATAGATGGTCACATTATCTTAAAACTCAATCAATAACTGGCTTGGGAATATCTGGGGAAAAGATAGTCTCTTCAATAAATGGTATAGGGGAAACTGTATATTCATGTGCAAAATAATAAAACCAGACCTTTATCTTACATCATATACAATAATTGATTCAGAATGGATTGAAGAACTAAATATAAGACCAGAAACCGTAAGAAGAAAATGTAGAGGAAAAGCTCTTGATATTGGCCTTGTAGTGATTTTTTTTCAGTATCACATAAATGTCTCAGGCAACAAGAGCAAAAATGAACAAGTGGGATTTTATTAAATGAAAAATCTCCAGGATAGCAAAGGAAACTATCAACAAAAAAGTTATAGATGGGGAGAAAGTATTTGCAACCCATATAATTGATAAGAAGTGAATACCCAAAATACACAAGGTCATGCACCCTAAAGGAAAAACACAAATTACCCAATTCAAACAAAATAGACAAAAACTTGAATAGACATTTTTCTCAAAGAAGACATTAAAATGGACAATAGGTATATGAAAAGGTAATATAATTTGCTGATGACTCTGGTTATTAGTTAATGCAATTTTTATTTCAATCCAAAATGTGCTAAAAGGAAAAGATTTAGCAAGTGGTATTTTGATATTGCCACATCGAGCAAAAATAATTTTATCCACATAGGAGTTTCTAGTCAGAGAATGTGACACAGAACAAGTGTGAGTGGCAGGCCATCTTTGCTTTGTGTGCATACATCAAGTGACAGGTACAAAAGGGTAGCATCTTCTGCAACCCTCCAGTCTGTTGTACAACTCCACCCTTTCCATATGTTTTAAAGTACTCTACTATCTTTCCCCTAGCAATTTTTCCTGTATTACATATTTATTTTAATTGTAATTTGAGTGAAAAATAATCATGAGCCCCAAGAAAGTTAAGAACTTGGAGAATAAAATAGTTCAAAAGAAGAATGGACCTTCCAGAAAATGACTCTCTTGCCCTGTCTTTCATTAACCATAGCTGCGGCATTCATCTGTTTCTTACTGCTGTAATGTAATAAAGAAAATAGGTACGTATTTAGCTCCCAGTTCAGGACGTTTCAGAGCACAGCACCAGCATCTGCTTGGCCCTGTGAGGCCTCGTGGTGGGTGGCATCACAATGGTGTAAGTAAGTGTGAGAGATCACTGGGTCAGACAGGATGCCCAAGAAAAAGACTCACTGGGGTCCCAGGCAAACTCCATGAACCCCATAAAAGAGCAGTCCAACCCTGTCCTAGAGACCTAAAGATGTCTCGGGAGTCCTCACTGCTTAACACTGCTACCCCTGGGGACAAACCACAGCCAAATCATTGTGCCTACTGTCGCCATCTAATATCAAGCCACTTCTTTGGGGGTAGTGATGAACTTTTGCAACTTTATATTGTATGTGCAAACTGCATTTACTTACTTCCACATTGGTATAGATTACACGAATTTGTTTCTTGTTCACATAAAGCACAGTCGCATGCTGGCAGATCCAGGAATCTGCACTGTCACAAGCATCCCATAAAATTCTTTAATAAAAATTGATGTTTGAGAACCACTATCTGAGGGGAACATTCAGTCCTGCTATTCTGTTCTCTGTCACATTTCCCAGTACTTTCCCACTCTACTGCCAGGATTTGCAAAGGAAAGAAAAATTAATACTATTTTTATGAGCATATTACCATTATGATGGGACACTGAGATTAAAAAATATCATACAGTGCGATTAAAATAGTTTTTCCTTAGTTATCCAATAAAAGAGTTGATTTTAAGTAGGCTTTGAGTCAGACAATTTCTGGATATTCAGATTGAAAACATTCATCAGAGGCATTCCTAAATTGGTGTTAACTTTTGTCAAACCTAGGTTGGAAAAAAGAAAAATGCATAACTCAAAGCAGATAGTTGCATCCACACTTCGAGAAACTCTGCCCTCACCAAAACTTCCCTGCAGAGCATAACTTGTCTTTCTAATCAATCATCAGGTTAATCTAAATACCCAGAGAGAAAGGATGTCTACAATCTCACTGTTTGACAAGCCAGAACACTTTTGTTTCTGAATATTGGGTCTTTGAATGGCTCTTTGGGTGACAATCTTTTGACAAGACATATTGATTAGTTCAGTCCTGACTAGTGGTCAACTCATCCTTCAATGCCTGTAGTTAACACCACAAAGGCACTTCTGTACCTTCTCCATAGATCTAGAAAGAAACCTGAAATAACAGGGAGGGAAGTATCTTAGAAGAGCTTTTAAATAAATGTCATTAATTTACAAGGGTCAAAAAATAATAATTTTTTAGAGATCCCCACACTCAATTTTCTAACTAGCAAGCTAAATAAAATTAGCTGCTTGAGTGGCTTCCTTCAGAAACCTGAGTAAAAATTATGAGACATGTCACTCAAAGTGTTAGCAAATCAATATTGCCTGGAGTTATAAACAAAATAAATTTTCATCCCAACTCCATTTTGATTTCAGAATTAACAGAAAGATTGCATAAATGGAGAAACAGTGTCAAGAGCAAAAGCCAGTACACCAATTTGAATCACAGACTTCCTTTACCAAGCCATGGCTTTTGGCTTCTGCAGTCATAGTTAAATAAAGATCATTAATACTGTCAGCTTTGCAAGGATACAGCAATGTGGAAACTGTTTAAAATTCTCTGAGCATCTCCCCCAGACCTTGGTAACCCCTTAAAATCTGCTGAAATGGCCATCAGCATGCAGAGGGACAATTAAGTGAGCCAGAAAGGGCAGAGAAAGCTGAGATAACTGAGATCATCTCATGGGCAGTTTGCCCGCCATTTAGGAAACTGCAGAAGTCTCTTAATATGAGTTATTTGTAAAGTACAATGCTATGAATCTGTAAAAGCACCTTTAAAACCTATGAAAGGACATTTCTTTTCTTATTACTTCCTAAAACCTGCTGCCTTAAATATTAGCTTTATTTATTTTGAGAAGAATTTAGGAGGCACAATAACAATACTGCTGGATTTTAGCAGTGACAGAAAGTGTTGTCCAGGCTGGATGGCCAAGACCTTTCCTGTGTGTGGTCTTTGTCATCTATTGCTCAGCAAAAGCCATTCAGGTCTGAGAACAGTTCAAATGGCATTTTTATTCAGACAATGAACATAACAGAAGCAACACTTACCAAGAACAAGTGATGGCTTTGAAATATTTCGCAAGACTGAGCAAAAATGACTTCACAACATCTTGGATAGAAAAAAGAAATATTTAAAAAAAATTTAAGTGACCAATATTCAAATGAAATACAGAATTCAGATCAGCAATTTGGGAAAAAGTTACTTACAAGCTATAGTTATCACCAATGTGCAAGTGAAGACATTGGCTGATATTCCTCCCATACACCACCTGAAACAACAGGATTGCTTAGATTTAGCAACATGTACAATTTAAATTTAGTATAGATTTAGGATTTTAAGATTTACTATAAAACAGCAGTTACGACTTGTATCTAGATGTCCCCCCAAAGCCTCATGAAGTCATAGGTGAGGCTTTTTTAGAGGTGGCTGGATCTAGAGTATATGATTAAGGGTGGGATTAAGAGTGTATGCTTACTAAGTTAGTACACTGATTGGTTTGGCATAGTTCTGGGTGTGAGTGCTACCCAGCCCAGAATAGAATATAAAGGGACAGAAAGTAGCTGCTATTCTTGTTTTTTGTTGCTTGCTGCCTTCTGCCTGCCATGAACTATTTCTCTTCTGTGATGGTCCTCTGTCAGCTATTGACTGAAACCTCTGCAAACTATGAGCCAAAATAAACCTTTCCTTCTTTAACTTTGCATATTGGGTATTTTGTCTCAGCAATGAGAAAAGAAACTAAGACAACCAGTAATAAAAATCATGTGGTATTGGCATATGTGGTAGATTAGTGAAAAGGAACAGAGAATAAAGAAATAGAATCAAATGGATATGGTAAACTGATTTTTAACAAAGATGTAAAAGGAATTCAATGGAGAAACCACAATTCTTCCCACAGATGATACTGGCATCATTTAATATTCACAGGCAAAAGAATGAACCTCCACATGTGCATCATACCTTACATAAAATTTATTTGTAAATGAGTCACAGACTGAAATATCTACCATAAAGGCACACAACTTTTTATCTGTGAAAGACACTGCTAAGACAAAGAAAAGATAATATACAATCTGAGTGAAAATACTTTCAAATCATATATCTGATAAAAGACTTCTATCCAGAACATACAAGAAAAGTTAAAATTCAACAATAAACTAGCAAATAATCTTCTCAGAAAGTGAGCAGAAATCCTGAACAAAAACCCAGACCTCTCACTGAAGAAGATATACATATAGTGCATAAGCAGGTGAAAAGATGTTCAACATCACTTGACATTAGGTACTGTGAGTAGTTAAAGCAGTGAGCTAGCACTGCACTTCTATTAGAATGACCCAAACCCCCACAATAAGTAACAAATGCCAGAGAAGATTCAGGGCAATGGGAACTCTCATTACTGATAGGGATGAAAATGGTCCAAACTCTTTGGAAGATATTTTGGCACATTCATGAAAAATTGAAGATAGACTTGTATACCCTGCAATATCACTTTTTGCTGTATCTCCAACTGAGTTGAAACCATATGTCTTAAAAAAATTGCATGTGATTCTTTGTAGAAATTTTATTAAAAATTTCAAGAACTGGAAGCAGTCAAGATGTTGTCAATAGAAGAATGTATAAACAAGCTGTGATCCATCCATACACTGCAATGTTACTCAGCAACAAACTGGAAAAAACTGTTAGAATGGCACATTTATCATTTTTGTAGGTTCCAACAGGTAGGAAACTGATTCCCACTACCTAGTATACATTTTCTTGTAAGAAATATGTATCTTAGAGGAGATGAATATATATATATATATATATATATAATACATATGAATATATATGTTCACACTATGAGAGAAAGCATTCTGGTAGAGTAAGGAATTAAAAGAAAACAGGAGTGGTGGGAAAACCTATAGTCCTATATAGAGTAAAATTCAATGTGAAATTCAAGATTATATTTTTACCTCATCGCTTACTTTTGTTAACAAGGGTTGGTTCTTAATTAAAAATCCTATTAATTCATACAACAATATGCATGAATCTTATTCATGGATAAGGATGCATTTGGCTATGTGACAGAAGATAGACGTAAAAGGCTACATAATGTGTGATCACATTAATATAATACTCTGAAAAAGATAAGGTTATAGGAACAGAAAATAGATCAGTAGTTTCCAGGAGTTTGGGGAAAGAGGAATGTCTGACTAGAAAAGAACCTTTTTTCAGGGTGTTGAGACTAATCTATATGACACTACAGTGGTAGATACATGGTGTTATTTATTAAGCAATACTCATAGAACCATATAACACAGAAGAAACCGTAATATACGCAAATTTAAAAACCAGTCAGGAGGTTGAGAAGTCCCAGGATAGTATCCAGACAAAAGAACCTGATTATATTACAAATATATGATGTAACCTCATGGAAGGAAAGGGGGAAAAGTGTTGACCTAAATGACTATAAAAAGTAGTTTCAACTGGAATTATAAGGCCAAAGAGAAAAACAACTGTGTGCTGTACTCTAGTTCATAAGGTGGGGAGAGGGTGGTTGGGTTAATGATTCTGAACATCTGCAGATGCATGCTGGTATTGAAGAAACTCATAAATGGGTGGCTGGTAGTAGGATCCAGGTCTCTATCTGTCAGAGCGGGAGCTTTCAGGTAAGCAAGGTGAGGGGGAGCCTGGAATGAGCCATGTAGTACTGGATTAGAGTGAGAGATGTCAGTGTGAATTCATGCATAACTAACACAGGTGTTGGCAGATACATAAATAATTTTCAGCATGTATATAGATGTGACTTAGTATAGACACACATATTTCCTTATAATACCTGCTTCCAGAGCCTAGAAATAATGCTACAAACACACTCAACTCCCAGATCTCCTAAGAGTCTACAACAAAAGACACCAGGGGTTCTTAGAAAAATAGCTGAGCTGAGGCAAGGAAAAAACAAGACATGCTTGAATTATCTGATAGTGCCAGAAAACAAGAGTGTTTAAAAAAAGAAAAAAACAGAAGTAGGTGACAAGGACATAGGAGCCAACCTGACAGAGCACCCATTGGTAAAAGTGAAACCAATTTCAGCAAGAAAATTAAAGACATTATATTGGATTATAACAGTATAAAATAAAAACCCATGAGCATATACAGATATAAATAAATGTTCACATTTGGATTTTTCAATCTTCCCCTACTACTGTCCTTTTTCTATTGCAGGATGCTACCAGGTTGCCACTTTGCGTTTAGTCGTCTCATCTCCTTCAGTTCCACTGGGCTGTGACATTTGGATGACCTGGATAGCTCTGAGGAGAACAGCTCAGGTAATGTGTTGACTGTCCCTCAGTCTGGGGTTTCTCTTTATTTTTCTCCTGGTTAGACCAGGGTTGGAAAGGCCACAGAGATAAAGTGCCCTTCCCCCTCGCTGTGGATTGTGTTTAGATGTCCCCCTAAAGCCCATGCTTTTTTGGAGGTGACTGAATCTAGAGTGTGTGATTGACTCATGGTGAGGCTAGGCCTGAAAGCACTAGGATTATGGGTGTGAGTGCTACCCACACCCTTGGTCTGAATAAGATAAAAAGGGCAGGGAGAAGCTGTTAATATCCCTTGTTGCCTTTGCTACCTTGTGTGCACCATGTTGTTTCTCCTCTTCAATGCCTATTTTCCATCCCTGCCTTGGAGCCAGACGACTACGGACTGAAACCTCTATGAACTGTAAGCCAAATAAACCCTTTTTCCTTTAACTTTGGGTATCAGGTATTTTATCTCAGCAATGAGAGAGAAGTAACTAAGACAGCCCTGCATTGTGTCTAAGGCACCTGCAGCCCCAAAACGTACCATTCTTGGCGTTGACTTTGTTCATTGAGCTGGAGCTAGCCAGGTGTCAGCACTGTAAAGCTACCTTTCTACCCCTTTCCTCCCTCTACTTTTGGGAAATGAGTTTCTAAACACAGCTCACACTAGAGGGATAGGGAGTGAAGCTCTCCCCCTCTAGTGGGGAGTGCATCTGCATTAATTAACCCAAGAGAAACATTTCATTAGCGATCCTGTGAAGGTAAGGCTTCCCTGGTCAACTTGAAAGTTTAGGACATGCAAAGTTAAAAGAGGCAACTTGTTTTTCTCCCTGACATGCTTTCACTGAGCCTTTATTATACTAAACACACTGTGGTCTCCTGACTTGGGATCTATAATGAAGAATTTTGTAAATTTATTTTTAACCATCGTGCCTCCCCTCTTTTGTTCTTCTGGTTCCATTGTAATCTAAAAATGCTTCCCAAACCTCATAATTAACTGGGAAGCTTGTTCTAAAATACCAATTCTCAGTAGACCTAAATTAGCCTCTCATGGGACAGGCTCTAGGACTCGGCATTTGTGAAGAAGCTTCCCTGAGCAATACGGCAGACTCTGAAGCTCAAGCGGCAGGACTTGAGGGCCAGCAGCACGTGCTGGCCCAAGCCCCCAGGACTACGACTCATTGAATATCAATAAGACCCAGCAGTGAGGGCAGAGCAGTGAAGAAACCCATGATGTCTTTGCTCTCAGGTTGCTCATGTCCTTGTACGGAGAACTAGATCATTAATATAATAGGCCAGGAGGTGCTAAGTTCTCTGAAGAAGAGCAAAGCAAGGTTTGTGTGTGTGTGTGTGTGTGTGTGTGTGTGTGTGTGTGTGTGTGTGTGTGTGTGATGGGGTAGTGTGGTGTTGACACGAAGAAGTACAGGAAGGTCTCTGACAGTGTGACATTTGAGCACATTCCAAAAAGAAGTAAGGTCACACACTAGGAGGATATCTGGGGAAGACTTGTACCAGGTACAGAAAACAGCAAGTGAAAAGGTCCTGAGGCATGAATGGGTTCAGTGCTGAAAGGACCTGACTTGGAGCACAGAAAGGCCAGGAAGTTTAGCCAAGGAGAGGGGGGACAGCAGGTAGAGCAGAAATACACTTATGCCCAGACCTGCACACTAACAGGCTCTGCCATACTGAGGGCTCCCCTGGAACACAGATATTATGTGCGAAAGGAATGTGAGCATTGTCAGAATCAAGATGGACTCACTTGCGTCAACCCTAATGCAAAATAAATGAAACCAAGAGGCTATGCAGGAAGGATTCTTAGACACGATTCCCGAATAGCAACTATCGCAAAAGACTCCACTAGAGCCATCAGCTCGAAGACTCATATGAGCCCACAGACTCATACAAAAAGCACTTCCATAAAAACATCTGCTTGCAACTGTCTCTTCAACTTCACACTAGCATCACCCTTGTTATTGACCATGTGGCCAAAGACACTGTTTCCGAGTATCTGAGGCAACCCTGCTCATTTTGCCTTTAAAAACTTTACCTTATCTCAACTTCTGAGTATGCGCCTTGTTTACCTATGTGTGTTCCCCTTGCAGTACTCGGTTAGTCCCAAATAAATATGATTATTCTTTGCAGAACCTCTTACTCTTTAGATGGACCTATCTTAGGATAAAAAACACGTAGGAAACAGGGAGTCTTGGTGAGGATGTCAGGGCCCCTGCTGTAGACTTCAAGTGGTCCTGAATTCCTGAAGGGGGAACTTAGACTGAATCTGTAATGGGAGCCGCTCAGACTTGACACAAACGCTGATACATCATACACTCCAATTTTAAGCAAAATACACTGGCTTTTGTGTGCTTTGTTAAAGGATGAGAAGAGCGAGGTGAGAGATAAAAACATACCTATAATGATGGGAAAATGAACAATCTTGACCACAGAGCTACTTAAAATGCTTTGTGGAATAAAGCAAGGAGGTCATCAATCCATCACAGCTTCCTTAATTATGAAATACTATTGCATGAAAATAAGATCTGAATTACCTGGCGCACACAGAAATGATGAAGCATGCCATGAACAGGATTGCCTGCAAGGAGACCTCTCGCAGCAAACTGATATCTAAGGAGAAGAAATGAAGGCGAAATCATTGTTGATTAAATAAGCTTGGAACAAAATGATACCAAAGCTTCTTTTTGTTACAGCAAAAATAAATCTCAAAGATATGTCAGTTTAAGCAACTTGTTATAAATAAAAGATAAAATCACCTACAGGACCATTCCTTAGAAAATTTCTACAAATAATAAACTTGCTTTATCACTATAGAGCAAAAGACTATGCTACCTACGCAGTTCTGGGCTTGTCTTTTGCTTTACTGGTAGAAAAAGTCTTGCAAAGTTTATGCCAATGTCAGAAATTTAAGGGCTTTGATAATAACAACAATAATACTGCCTAAAATTGTTAGAGTGCCTTGTAATTCACAAACAGCTTTCATACATTAGTTCATTTACCAGGCTCAGGCATTTTCTTAGTTTAGTGAGAGCTAATAAGAAAAGAGAGAAATGATGAAATTGTCCAAGGTCACACAGCCACCAGGTACCAGAGCCAAGATTTAAAACACCACATCTAGACAGAACATAATGTTTTGTCTGAGGTGGGGAAGGGAAAGACAATCACAATTCTGCATACTGTGAGTCTCTAAAGACTAAAAAAGAGAACGCATATTGTGAAATATTTGTCCTTGCAAAACTCTTTGCAGTCAGTGACTGCAGTCAAGCCACAGTGGAAAGGATTGGAAACCCTTTAGCAATTACGTACATGGCGGTTAAACTGATCATGGGCCTGAGTATCCTTCTAATCACCTAAAAGAAATCAGAGCTGGTTTAAGGATAAAGACTTAAGGGACTGCTTGAACAGATTTCAATTTAATTTTAGCCAAATGCTTCCAAAGCTCAATTTTGCAGCAGTCTCTTAAAACTTGGAATGATTTTAGGCTACAAGTGTATTTATTTTTGCTATTTACCCTATGAATGAGGATTGAATCAGCTACAAAATCTACTTAGCCCATCATGTGGGTGGAATGCTGAAGACTGGGAATGTAACATGTAGTGGTAGTAAATTATGCCACTGTAAATGTATTTTATGTATACTGTGAATTTAATAAGTTATTGTGGGTTCAATGGAACACTCATCCATCCTTCTAAAGTGTGATTCTATTCTTTGCTTCCCCTAATTCAATGTGGAATTCAGAAACCATTTCCTAACAGAAGCAAATTGGGCTAGAAAAACTATAATGATCACTAGACAGATAGTGAAGTATAAATGGATTTAAAAATGAGTTCCACAAAGAAATGAGTTGTGGAATTGGGGCCCAGTTATTGGTGGATTTCTGTGAATCATGCAACAGTGGTGCAGACAGTGGGCTGGAAAGAGAGGTCCCCCTGGATCCAGAGGAGCAGAGACAAGTGGACTCCCTGGGGGAAGTGGCTGTTGAGCCTATTAGGAATTGATAAAGTGGAACCTGCCTAACCAGTGAAAGCTGCCATCTCTGCCATCCCAACCCATTGGAAAGGAACTTACAAAACCCTTTAACACTTATCTAATAGCTGTCCTGGGAACGAAGTGTTCAGGGCATATTGGTTTTTGGTAGTGGAAGGGATGGTCAGTAAAAATATTCGAGGTTTTGTTCAGGAAAATATTTTTCCATTTAATCTCAGTTTCACAAAATAACCTCACATTCATTGAGCACTCAGTAGAAGTGACACAGTATACTGAACACTTGATGGTAATCATTTTAGTCATTACAGGGTGGGAACTGGGATTCTCTCCATGTACAGATGAAAATGTTCAGTTTTAGAGTTTGTCAAACTGCTTAGAGAGCCTGGTAAATTCTATTCTAAGGTGGTTCACAGAGTTGTGGCTAACAAGGAGGAAGGTGGCCTTTGAATCTTGGCCAGATGACAGCAAAGCTGGCTCTCCTCACTCTAACACGGTGGTTTTGAACTTTTTCCAGATTTACTTTTGACAGGAAATAACAATACCTCTAAGTCTTTTCTTTTTCTTGCCAAGGCCATACCATGAAAAGATGTTGATTTCCTTTCTTTCTTTCTTTCTTTCTTTCTTTCTTTCTTTCTTTCTTTCTTTCTTTCTTTCTTTCTTTCTTTCTTTTTCTTCTTATGGAGTAAGACAAATACACAAGTAAGTATAAAGAGTAAAATGATGTTCTTTTGTTTTGCTTTATTAAAACCCAACATTTTACCAAATGTCTTCAGGGTTTCTGAGACAATGGAACACCATAGATCTGGTGGCTCTAAGGGGACTCCTAAGTGCAACTCTTCTGTGAAAGTGTGACATGGGCTCTGGCACAAGGCCAGGTCTCCCTCCCTTGCACAGATGGATACCAGTTCCTACATCATTCTCAGGCGCTGGAAGGAAGAGCTCATTCGGTGTGGCAAAGATTTGAAAAACTCACTTGGATGATCCAAAACACTCTTGGAAATGTCCAGATGCTTTCCATGGGGCCTGAAGACAGCAGCCCTGGGAGTTCTCCTTGGGAGGCTGAGATAGGACGAGGCTGGAAAAGGAAGCTTCCGTAGACTCTTTAGTTGGCTTCTCCTCCATCTCCCATTCATCTGTCAGAGAAGAACAATCAACATTACTTCCTGGAAAAAACAGAGGAGCTTAGTTTCTCTCTCTCTCTCTCTCTCTCTCTCTCTCTCTCTCTCTCTCTGTGTGTGTGTGTGTGTGTGTGTGTGTGTGTGTTCAGTGACTGCTGTATGCACAATTCCTAATAATTATAATAATAGTAACTCTGATGCACTATTAAAGTAGGGTAGGTGAAGAATTTCTGGATAAGATTGCATTTCAATTTGTCCTCATCCTTGAAGGCTGAAGATAACTGACTTCAGAGCAGAAATAAGTAAAGATCAGAGGCATGAAACTTTGGTAAAGGAAACTGATTGTATATAGTTAGAACAAAGCAAGGAGACCAAGGGAAGATGAAATTAGAAAACAAGTCTTAGGACCAGTCATGGAATTATCAACTTCTTGGCTGAGGAGTTGAGAATTCCTGCTGCAGACAGTAGAAGTGATGGAATGTTCCTAAGAGTGGCATTGTGCACACAGTCATGCAGTGTTTTCATGTACATAAAATTATATGTGATTTTGATGTATGATAAAATCCAGGTGGTCCTAGAATAAATCATGAAACGGTGTTCTAAAACCCTTTTCAGAAGAGGACAGGCTATCTCACTCTTAATCTCCAAGTGATGTGGCATTGTATAGATGGATTTAGAGGATATATTTATGACAATAAATTTCATAGAGGATCTAACTCTACCACTTCTAATTCATTCATTCATTCATGTGAGATTTACTGAACATGACTATATACTGTATCAAGAACTGACCAAGCTCTTGGGAAGCAATAGCGGATTAGATGGATGTCATCTATTCCCTCATGTGGCTTACATTCTAGTACAAGGAGAGTGTGATAATATCTTGTCATAGGTATAACTAAGGACCCCCTCCCTCTATAAAATACATTGAAATTCTGGATAAAATACTGTGTAGTATATATCTCCCTTGACTTTTTTCATTCAAAAAGGCTATTTAATGCATGTATATTTTTAAGAACGTGAGTGAATTTTTCTCTATGAAAGTTCAGATATAAATATAGACTACTAGTTTTCAAGTTAGCTTAACATGTCCCCAACCAAAAAGGTCAAGTTCATCTCAAAATTGTGCAACATGGAGTTTCAAACATGCTAAGGTAACTCCTAGCAACAATTGGTGTCTTCAACATGATGTCATTAAAGAATGACATGTAAGTGTTGACGTTTGATTTGACTCTAGGGCAAAGAAGTCTCCAACTCCCCAAGGCAAACCTTCATTGAAAAGAATGAATGTGTTAAAAATGTCTCTATACCACATGGAAAGTATAGCACTGAACCTCTGACTCATTGGAAGTCGCAAATGAATTTGCCTCCGCATGCTCTTGGTTCTGCCTTTGGTGGGCTATATGATATCACCTAGGGTGTAATTTTGGAGCAGATTTTCTCCAGTGTAGGCTCATTGGCTTGGAGGTGTAGTCACTCAAGGAGTTGGCAGAAGTCTTGCTGTGAGAAGCAGGTGTTTCCTTGGATGATGTTGAAAAGACAGCATACGTCCACCAAATATATTTTAATTATCTAGCTGCGCTATAAAGATAAAGATATTCCCAGAAGCCAAGCCAACACACTCTAAACAAGAGTTGTCTGAAGCTGTCCTGAGGGATAAGGATGGTAACTTACAAGATATTATAATCAAAGGGCTGTGGTTTAAATGATGTCATAGGAACAGAAAAAAGGCCTACACTGGACAGAGGCCTTTGGGGAAACCGGAACAGAGTTCCTGCAGGGACTCCAGTTTGTTTCCCCAAGGAAAGGACAGGCTAAGAAAAAAATTCACTAGTTTAGAAAGAACACATGAACGCTTATTTGTTTTGGCCTAGTCAGTAAGTGGAAGAAAACTGTCTCCCCTAATGTTTCATAAGGAAGCAGTGCCAAGTTAAAATGTATACTGATCTGAGCAGTTGATATTTAAAACATGGTCTCAGGTTGGTACTGACCCTGTGATGTCTGCCGGAAGCCAAGGTAAAACGCAGTGTAGAAACACTCGCATTCAAAGTTGAACAGCTTGTCTCAGAGAAAGCCCAAGGGAGGAGAGCTAACAACCCCAATTATAAAACACACCCATAGATAATCTCCCACAGGAAAGGAAAATAAATGTAGTGCTACAAAAAAGGAGAACCCTAGGGTGGGATATGATTGGGGCATCCCTGAAATTACTGCTTAGGTTTCAGCTTTGAGCAGAGTGTGGTGTTTGAGGAGATTGTCCTAATTTATTTTATCTTGGGAAAACTCTGAAGGGGACCTGTAAAACTCATTCTCTTTTTTCTGCCCACAGTATCTCATTTCTGCTTCCTATCTAAATAAAACAATTATTTCTATAGTCCATATTAGTCTTGATTTCATGACTAGGAGAAAGACACAAATCAAATGGGCAAATATTTGCCAAACACATATGCTGTAGGTAGGACACTTATATATGTGGAAGGGGACAAAGGAGAAGACACAGACACTAACCCAAAGGAGGTCAACATACTGTGTGTGTGTGTGTGTGTGTGTGTACACATGCATGTGAGATTGTCCCGTGGGGGAAATGATAAAGACAGGATTGCCCAATGGATAGAAGACAAATGTATATATATATTGTTTGGTAAAAAGAAACAAAATGTGGCCTGGTGGAAATTTCAAGGACCTGGGATTCAGAAAAACCAGAACATGAATCTTAAGAACAACACAAGGCACTTTAATTGATTTCCTGACCCTAGATTTCTTCATCAATAGTTACTACTGTTCACCACTGTTGTTATAATTAAATGAGAGAAGGAAAAAGTATAAATATCTCAAATGCAGAGAAGATGAATGGAATAAGAACTTCTATAATGAATAGGGACTATAATAAATATGGTCCCTAGTTGCATTCAGGATTGTCAGCTCCATGTGGGAATAGGAGGTGCTGCCAGATCATCAATGAATGTCTCCAGATGGAAGGGATTCTCAAGGATTTATCATACTAACAAAAAAGAGTCTTACTACTCAACTCTGGGAAAGGGGATCTTTTATTTTGAATCAGTATCCAGTAAATTGCCCTACCATGAAGGGATTCTTTAACCTGTGTTCCCAGACACTTCTGGCCACAAGGTTTATCCCAGATGGCTGCTTTATTTCCTTGCTTCACTGTATGACAAGGCACCTTCTGGAAGAAAGCACCTCCGGACAGGAAAAGAGTGTGTCCTCTGCCACTGGTCCCACTGCAGAGGTGAACATGAACGGCTGGACGTGCTCCGGGAAAGACACACTTGGAATGGGGTGGGGATCCCCACAGCTCCAGGGTGAGTGTAGAGATAAGGCCAACAGAAGAACAGAGAGGAAAGGGAAGTGAGGAAGGTTGTTTCACTGTGTGGTGGGAACTTCAAAAGAAACAAGCTGGGGAATCTGAGCAGCCCTAGTTAATAAATAAAAAGGCTTTTTATGCTTTGGCTGCTATTGTGGGATGTGTGGAGCATAAAATGATTAAGAAAAGATACCAGCTGCGAAGAAGAATTGAGGCAGGCCACAAGTGATATCCTCAGAGAAGACCCCAAACCCAGGGGAATTAATAGTGCAGTAAAAGGAGTGGAGAAAACAGAAGCTCCATTGGAATAGGGCAGGAGGATCTATTTATTTGCTCTATATAGTTATTACACACACTGCATACATTGCCCTGTACAAGGAGCTGGAAAAAGCAACTCAAATTACATACTGCCTGTCTACTCATGGTCTGGGGAAGGAAGACATATAATCCAGCTATTGGTATGCAAAGAGATAAATGCTATGACAGAGGCTGGCGCAAGAGGTCCAGGGGATGTCCAATGGGTGCTTTAGTCTGGGAAAACAGAGGCTTGATGCAGGAGGCAGTACTGAAGTGCAAGCCAGATGGATGCCTAGGAGTTCTTCCACTGGTGAGCAGTAGGACAAGGCAGGGAGAAGGAAAAGGAGCAGGAGTAGGAACAGGAGGAAAAGGAAAACTAAAACATTGGTCTGTGAGAGAATACAGTGGGTTCCCGAAGACTAAGTTCTATGAGGCAAGCAGGGAATTTGTGGTTGGAGAGTCTTGGGACATGATTCTGGCTGGAATGATTAGCAGAGGTCAAATCCTGAAGGTCTTCCTGTCACACTTGGCAGCTTAGATTCTCATGTGGACATCTGGAGTCTTTGAAGAGTTCCAGGCATGTGTGTTACACAAGAAGTTCTGTGTGCTAAAATGGAAAACTGTTTCAGCAGTGAGAGGTTTGGGATTCCCAGGCCACCATTCCAGGAACAGTGCCTGACTGGGATCTCTAGGAGACAATGGGAACCTTATAGAAAAGAGGCTCTTAATGAGGGTGACTTCTCTTCCCTCAGGACATGTGGTACTGTGGGGAGACATTTGCAGTTGACAAATCTTTAGGGTGGGGTGCTACTGGTGTGTAGTGGGTAGAGGTTAGGGTGCTGCTACAATGCACCTGACACTGCTGCAGGGAAGAATGCTTTGGTTCAGGGTAACAGTGATGCTAGAGCTGAGCATCCCTGTCCAGGGAAGAGCAGACCTAAATGTATAAGGAGCTTGAATATTGGAGCTCTTGTGACAACTCTGAGAAGCCCTGGCAAGTGAACACGTATGTCTGCTTTTCCTGGTCCAGACTTACTCTTGTCCAAACACCCTGTACTCTTCCTTTAAAGGACAGATCATAATGATCTTATAATTATTATATAAACACAGACTGTAGAAGGTCATTTGTGTGCTTTGCTTAATTCCATTTTATGAAATGTTATTCAGCCTTAAATAAAGAAGGCAATCGTGCTACTTGCAATAACGTGGAAGAACCCAGAGGGCAGTTTGCTCGGTGAAGTAAGGCACTCACAGAAGGAAAAATACTGCATGAGTCCACTTCTGTGAGGCTTTAAACAGTCGAACTCATAGAGGCTTAGAATACAATAGTGCATGTCAGAGACTGGTGAAGTGAGGGGTGGGGAAATGGTAGTTATTGTTCAATGAGTGTAGAGTT